TGAGTTTCTTTTTTTCCCACGTTTTCAAATAAGCCGTTTAGCCATCTTGGCGCCATTTGTTGTAAGTATCACTGAAAAAAAGCTATTGGGTTATTCAGCTAGAAGTAGAACAGGTTAAAATCATTTTGTGTCTGCCCCACTATGCCTCTCCAACTGAGCAATGGTGAGAGGAAAAAGAACATTTAGGCCTTCAATAATAGTACCAATATGCATATTTTGCTACCATTTTCAGAGTCCATTCAAGAAACATGAAGGGAACGGTGAATAAGTTAAAAAAAAAAGTGGGAACAGTAGCGAGGAAAAATGGATCGGGAGGTCACAACAGGAAGTGAGATCATCATTTTCAACTTAGAGCAAAATACATTCTTAGTCCAATAGTGTTATAAAAACTTTGGAGAATTCCAGTAAGATATCTTTAATCATTTCGGCTAGTGTGTGTGTGTGTCTGCGTACCTCAACGGGTGTACGGACATACATCTATGTTTGCATTAGCATGGTGACATCACGACGACCGCACCCCCCACCTCCATAATAACACCAATGCACGCAATCTACATAAATCCAAATTTAAAAAAAATTAAATCAGTTTGTCTGACGATCGCAAAAGCGTGAAATCCAACTAAATATGTTAGCTCTATCTCTGATATTGAGCGCTTTCTAATAAGTACCGCGCATAAAATATATAAATAATAATATATATCACACACACACACATATATATATATATATTTATGCTTATATTTATATACACACACATTTCACACACACACACATACACACACATATATATGCGCGTTATTTAGTGGAAAGTGCTTAATATCCTTGATAGAGCTAACATATACGGTTGCATGGATTGTAGTTTGTAACCGTATATATATATATATATATATATATATATATATATATATATATATATATATATGCAGTTTGTAACGAGGGATGCTGGGAATTTAAAACTTTTCATTTTCATTTTTTTATTTAATCTATTCGATTTCATTTATATTCGTTTTCCTATACATTCCATCACTTTTGTTAATAGATATCGCACACTGTGATAATAGAAGCTCTGTTAGTTTATAGTGAAATGCGGTAAGAGCCCGGGCGCAAATTTACTGTAGATGACCTTAGGCACTGTTCAGACATTTTCATCGTCGTGAATTGTTTTCTCCTTCGATCAGAGTAACATTTTTTATGTCAAAATTGTGGTCAGTTTCGTTACCGTGGCCAACCAACGCATTTAATGCACTGCTTTCTAAAAGGTCCCTTTTGTGTTCATATACTTTTTTATTTAGATTCCCAGAGATTTCTCCCATGTGTTTTTTAAATAATTTCCCAGCATCCCTCGTTCGTGCGCATGTGTAGTCTCACCAACATAAGAAATTTACTTCGCTGAAGACCTAAAGAGCGAAACACGTCACAAGAAAACTTTTTTCACTTTGTCATGCATTTTCCCCAATATTGTTCCTGATATGTAAAAATATATATCGTAATCTCATATATATATATATATATATATATATATATATGTGTGTGTGTGTGTGTGTGTGTGTGTGTGTGTGTGTGTGTGTGTGTGTGTGTATAACCTAAAGTAATCCTAAGGAGCCAAGCACACCTATCTAGGTTTCTCCTAAACGGATCATCAGGGTTATCCGTTTAGGTGAAACCTAGATAGGTTTGGCTGGCTCCTTAGGATTATTTTAGGTTATCGCTATACTTAGTGTATTTAGCACTTTACGTAGTTGTCTTTTTATTAGTTTTGTTTTTTTTTTTCTTTGGACTTAGAGCTTGATCACTGGACGATTGTTTTCGCCTTAGTTTAATTTTATTGGTTCTTTCTTTTTTTATTTCCCATTTTTCTTCGGGCGCCGATTTGTTCTACTGAAAGTTGAGCTATCCGAGGTTTTTCCAAACGAGTAACACCATTTTATATATTCTCGTATACTTGTATTTGATTGGTCATTCCAGCTTATGTAACAGGTGGTTAATTGATTTGAACTTTTTAAAACCCTTTATTCTAGATTCAACATCATCACTTGATAAGACACCAGAGGTGTTGAAAGAAAATGGCTATTTTTGTAGTGATTTTATAACATGTTTATGTTATAATTTTCGAATAAATAATTATATATATATATATATACCTCTCCCCAAACTATAACTCTATTCATCTATGTTTGCAATCTCATTCCCCCACTCCCGGCACTAGCAATAATAGACCTGCCTAACGCTTTTACACCGATCAAAATTTTAAATTTAAGTTTATTTTTATAAAAGGTTTCGCAAATTGAGGAATCAGACATAGATTGTTTTTTTGCTAACAATATGATTTCCATCAGAAAATACACCGTCTACAAAAACATCTGTCGGTGAGTAATTCACATTTTTCTGTTTATTTCTAGATTCGTAGATGAGGGACACAGGCATGTCTGAAAATTTTGAACTTAAAATCTTTCTTTCCGTGCTTCATTTCTGTCATATGGTTAATAATTAATATTTAATAAATGTTTTTCGACTGGTGATATTTGTACGCTTTCGTTTGTCCTATCTATTTTATATCTATATATCTATATCTATGTCTATCTCTCTCTCTCTCTCTCTCTCTATATATATATATATATATATATATATATATATATATATATATAAAGAAAAAACAGACCACTTTAAGGTTCCATTATAATAATTTATTTCACCAGAGTCCTTTTAAAGGACGCCGGATCATCAGATAGCACTTCCAAAAATGAAATGAAACGAAAAATTAAATTAAAATTGATGGGTAGTGTAAGGTTTTGTAATTTAACAGAGAGTGTAAAAGGGATAGTTAAAGAGACATGGTAGAGTATAAGGAGGGATTAATTTCATATCTCTCTCAAGTATACTTTGTATTGGGGGAGGAGAAGTGATCAGACCTTGACCTATTTAGACGGTTAACTTAACGGAAGTGATATATTGAATTGGGAGGGGAGTAGGGAGAAAAGAAAAAGGAAAAAGAAAGAAGAGGGCGAGGGAGAAGGAAGTAAAGGGAAAGAGGCTGTAATTGGGTTTTAGCAATTTATGTAAAGAATAGATTTTAATGCTGGATAGAAATTTAGATGTATAAAAAATTATTTGATGTTTGCTATCAATTTAAATATTTAATTTTTAAACAAATAGTTTAAGGATTAAATATATATATATATTAAATATATATATATATATATATATATATATATATATAAAGTGAACATTGTCCTATCTATTTATATATATATATATATATATATATATATATATATATAAAGTGAACATTGAAGTCAAAACTCAGAGGCACAGGCTGTTTCACGCTGGACGAAATCGTGGCCTCTAAACGTTGACTTCAATGTTCACTTTATATATATATATATATATATATATATATATATATATAATAGATAGGACAATGTTCACTTTTTATATTCATATTTACATACGCTCTATCTCTGATATTGAGCACTTTATCCCATAAATATAGCACACCTTAAAACATTTCTTATATATATTTATATATATATATATATATATATATATATATATATATATATATATATATATATATATATCGGAGAAATCTCCCGCAGGCTTTAAAAAAAAGCCCAACGCACCTTTATGCCGTCGTCCATTTTACACTTTGCGAAAGTTAACACCAGCAAGATCAATGAAACTCACCAAGTTTCATAGAGTTAAAAATATACCGAGTCATTACCGACTCTCAATGAATTATGTAAAAGGAAAAAGTTTGTTCGCATGTGAAAAAGCGAGCATTGACACGTGATTAGGTGAATTGAAAATACAATCGATTTGATATGTATGTCTATTTGTAATAAATTTTGAAAATGTGTCGTCTGCAGAAAAACCGAGCAAGGAAAAGAGAGGCGTCATAAGTTGTGTGCAAAGATTTTAAGATAACCACTGGTAGCTGTACGGGTAACTGTTCGTTCAAAGTGAATTCTTGAGCGTAATTGCGCATGCGTGTGCATTCCTGTGTTTGCTTCTATGCGCAAACCTAATTTTGTGTTGTTTTTGTTTTGTTAAACCGTATGTATTCGTCTGACTCTGAACATATGAATCTGAGCGCACGTATGTCTTTTTGATGGAATAAATAAATGATTAAATTGTTTTGGGAGTTAAAATTAACGTGAAAAAATAATTCAAGAAAGTAAATTAAAGGAAGGGAAGAAAAATATAAATTGGTTAAAAAATGTGTATATACATCAACAACCGGACTAAGAAGGCATTCCGGATATGAGGAATTTGTTACAAAGTCCGGATATGAGGGGTTATATTTAGACTAAAATAAAAGAACTGAAATCGGATTTGACATTTATTTTCAATGTTTTATTTCCTTGTCCATTGTGACACTGTGAACGCTGGAGAATAGTTTCTTTGGAAGATTATATATATATATATATATTGAACACAGCCATTAGTAACAATGAATTTTCGACGGCGTCTAGTCTGTTTAAAATTTCCACGTTTTGCGATAACTCCAAAATTGTTATTTTCCTCTTATTCTCATCATCTTTTGCACAAATAGTTTAAATAAAATCATGTCCAGATATGCGGGATTCCAGACATGAAAGATTCTAATGCAATATAAAGAAAAACGACAAAAGTGCAAGGAAGAAAACATAAACATGGAAAAAAGAAGGAAAATCGAGAGATGAAGTTAAATTAAATGGTAGTGATAAAGTGATAGAAAGAAGTAAAGTGAGGTAAGATAAATAAGTAAAGAAGTAAGGTAAGATAAATAAAGAAGTAAAGTGAGGTAAGATAAATAAAGAAGTGAGGTAAGATAAGTAATTAAGTAAAGTGAGGTAAGATAAATAAGGAAGTAAAGTCAATTAAGATAAATAAGAAGTAAAGTGAGGTAAGATAAATAAGTAAAGTAAATATGTAAAGTGAGGTAAGATAAATAAGAAATAAAGTGAGGTAAGATAAATAAAGACGTGAGGTAAGATAAATAAGTAATTAAGTAAAGTGAGTTAAGATAAATAAGAAGTAAAATGAGGTAAGATAAATAAGTAAAGTGAGGTAAGATAAATAAAAGAAAAACAAAATAAGATTGGAGGAAAAAAGAAACAATAAAAAAGAATGACTAAAGATACGAAAAAAAATGAAAAATCTAAAAGGGAAAGAACAAATAAAAAAAGAAAGCAAAAATGAAAAATAAGAAAGAAAAGAAAGTAAGAAGGGAAAGAAAGATAAAAAGAATATAAAAAGAAAGAAAGAAAGAAAGAAGAAAGCAAGAAAGAAGTAGAAGAAATTACTGAGGAGAAAGAAATGGCTAAAACAATGAAAAGAGAGAAAGAAAGAAAGAAAAAAGAAAAAGAAAGAAAGAAAGAATTAAGGGGAATAACAAGAAATAGATCATGAATAAAGGAATAATAAAGAAAGAAAGAATGAAAAAAAGAGAAAGAAAGAATGAAAGGAAAAAAGGGTGAAAGAAAAGAAGGAAGAATAAAGAAAGAAAGAACTATATAAAAAAAGGAAATAAAACTGAAAGAAAGTGACAAGAAAGGAGAGAGTCAAAAAGAAACAAAGAAAAAAAATGTCAAGCAGAAAATAAGAAAGCCACCCCCGAGAAAAAAAAAATTAACGTAATAAAACGAGGCGGGAGAAGGGGGGTGGGGGGCGCAGAAAGTGACTGAAGGAAGCCATTGGTCTTTGTTGAATATCGCGTCATTATAAATGAGGCCCAGTTCTTAATGGCGACTCTCATGATAGAAAGGATTAATTGGTTTACAACGATATGACAAGAAAGTTTCGCTGTTAAAACATCACCACAGCATAGATTTAAGAGATTGGCTAGAAGCGAAGAAGGAGAACGGCGTTCAGAGGAGAAGACACATCTGTGAAAGCTGAGCAAGCACTCCGTCACTTTGACAGTGGCCGGCAACAGCTGTGGACCAAAAAAACCACTCAAGAAATTATACCGTTTCTCTGAATTATAAAAAGAGACACAAAATAATGGAGTGTCAAACGAAAGGAATATGAAACGGAACTGAATAACCAGATACGCATGCGTGCATACTCTCTCTCTCTCTCTCTCTCTCTCTCTCTTCCTTTCACTCTCTGCCTCTTTCTTTGTCTATTGATATCTCACACGCACATATCTAACAGATAACAGGGGTAACTATTGGAGTAACAGCTTTATCTGTTAGCTGTGGCAAGGTTAGGTAGTACTTACTTTCCCCGGTATCAGCGGCAATGGCCTGCAAATGACGAGACAGCTTAAGGAGGAGAATAAGTTTCATGCCTTTCAAAAAAAAAAAAAAAAAAAAAAAAGCATCAGCGCAAAGAAAACAACCTAAAATTTACTTTTCGTCTTTTTTCAAAGCTATGTTTCTTGAGGCGTAGGTAATCATAGTTCTCCATAGCGTCCTTTTATCAATTGTGATTTGGCATGCCTTCTTCAAAAAAGACAATGAACTAGTTTCCCATTGCCTTATTCACGATTTTGAAGCCAGACTAGTTTTTCTCTTAGAACAGCTATTATCCAAGTTTAGTGGGCCCAGTCGATTCTGTTATTTAACCCATAGCCGTAACAGAAATGGTACATTGTCAAACGTGGACAAACGTGCCCACAATAAGGACTGATTTTCCCATGATACCGCTTTCTTCACTTCCTTCACTGTTTGGCAATGTTTTTGTCTTAAAAAGCGATGATTAGACAACAAATATATTAGATTGTTTATTTTCAAGAATAATATTTTTACAACGTTCTAAAACCTATTGTTACTGGCTTTGGGGAAGGTATGAATAAATCTCTTCTCCCTCCAGCTATGGGTAAATAGCAGGACAGACTGGATTCTATCCTTGGCTGGCAACCCGTCTAGGAGAAGGAAAACCCTGAATTCAAAGTAGTATGTAGCCCTGACGAAACACATACTATGCAGTTAAGGAAAGAATCGTTTGCATTGACTCGATGATCCCGACTGCGGTCGATAAGTCTTATTCATCCAGAGTAACTCCCTCTTGAGCCTTAGTGACTTTATCGCCTTTCTTGTGGTAAAAAGATTAAGAAAAATATTTTTAACTATGCCACATCAGCCTTGGGTGGCAACCGCTGTAGGAGAAGGAAAAACTCTGAATTCAAAACTTTGGGTAGCCCTGTCGAAGCACATACTATTGCAACTAAGGAAATAATCGTTCGCATTGACTCGATTATCCCGACGACGGTCGAATCCTTAACAGAGTGGGTTCTATAGACTTGGGTGGCAATCGATCTAGGAGGAGAGAAACTCTGAATTCAAATCTTTGGGTAGCCATGGCGAAGCACATACTATGCAGCTAAGTAAAGGATCGTTCGCATTGACACGATTATCCCGACTACGGCCGACTCCTTAACAGACTGGGTTCTATAGCCTTGGGTGGCAATCGATCTAAGAGAAGGAAAACTCTGAATTCAAATCTGTATGTAGCCCTGGCGAAGCACATACTATTGCAGCTAAGGAAAGGATCGTTCGAATTAACTCGATAGTCCCGACTTTGGCCGCGTACAATAACAAAAACTAATACAATTAAAATTAATTCAATGCAATAATTATAATTTACCAATTTATCAAGAAATAATTATGAAAACATTTTTTTATTCATAAATGTATAAACATTTACTAAATTAATAATATATGTGTACCAACTATGAGGAGATCTTTATTATTTACCATTTTATAAAGTTTGAATGGATCGGCAATTAGCCGATGTTTTGCCAAGCATTCCAATAGTGTAAATAAACAATCTAATAAATAAATATTTTTTATTATTTTTGTTGTCAATTCTCAAGAACAAAGAAAATGCATAATTTATCTTCATATGTTTCGGTTTCATCCCAACACTAATCATCGCTTTTTAAAACAATAAACTTTGCCGAGGAGGGAAGGTAGTTAAAATAATAGCGGTGTCATGGGAAAAACCGTCCTTTTGACACACCGTCTTATCGTGGGCATATAAGACCATGTTTACCGATGAATTCGTGTCTCTTCCAAGGACATTTGAGCAAAAGTGAATGCAACATAATAGGTCAATATTTGAACTCGACTCGCCGAGTGCACTTTCCGTGCCGATAACCCTTACGCCCCAAAGAGATCTAGATGGCAAATGTTCAGATGAGCACTCCATTCTTTAGTTCCAACAGTTCAGACCTTTACAGCTAGAAAATGCTATGCTACTTTCATGGAGTTGAATCATCCTCATTTCCCCCGTACTCCGAATGTAAGAAGGATGTACCACTCAGTCCGCACCCCTCCGAGGAATTGCTACTTTGTGAAACAGACATTCGCGTGGAACACTTCATCTTTGACCTCTTCAAGTAAAGAGTCAGTCGTTATCTATCCTCCTTGTTCTCATAATCTTCGTTTCCTAGCACAATCTCTTCCATTTATATCACACAATTCATTATAATTTTAACCCTCTAGCTTGTGTGACTCTCAAGTTTTTCAATGGTTGAAATTCAGTAATAACAATAACCCATATGCCAAGACGCATTTTTTCCTGAAAAATGCCTTCAAAAATCACCCTGTGGCATAGCTCTGAAAGGTCAATTTGTGGAGAGCAGTTTGCTAACCTTACGAAACCCAGTTACACGATATAAGCAATTACGAACCCCAGACATATAAGTCTACAATTATCATTCACCTGTAATAAATACCGTATATACCATTAGTATCATATATATATATATATATATATATATATATATATATATATATATATATATATATATATATATATATATAAAGGGAAGAGGTTATAGCAGTTCAACGAGAAAAGTGTGTATATTAAAAGAAGAGAAACCGCAAACGTTTCTGGTTGTAATATGGATTTTTAAAAAAATATATTATGCTTTATTTGCCATAATTTTTGCTACACGGGTTTCTGGTCTTGCGACCTTCATCGGGATATTTCCACATATTATTAAAAGGAATTAATTTTTCTTATGTTTTACGATGTTAAACATTCTCGATATAAGACATTCACTTTTTTGGGTGTTAATGATCCAAATATTTTCCTTGTAATGGCAGGGAAAAAGTTCTGTGTGAAGGGTATATTTATGTAATTCGTCGAGTCTAGAAGAATCCTCAACAGAATGCAGAAAGCACTGGACGGCCGTTTCATCCTATATTTGAGACTCATCAGCAGTGCGCATCCACTACCGAGAATCGAACCCAGATCGCAAGCGCCATACCAACTGTACCAACGGGCCTCGGTGACGAAGAGGTAACGAATTAGACTCGATATACCGCAGCTCTACACAAATTCCGTGGTGTACCCATAGGACTGTACCATTGCAAGACATGACTACTATCCCCAAGCCGCACCATCCAGAGTATTAGAAGCCTATTCAAGCAAGGACATACAAATGATAGAAATTATTAGGAGGATTTGAAATAGTTAAGTAATTCATCGAGTCTAGAAGAAACCTCAGCAAAATGCAATATATATATATATATATATATATATATATATATATGAAGAAATATATATCTATATACATATATACATTCGTAAAAACAAAACGCTACATTTAGCTGTTCCATTCTGTCGAATGAATATAGCTCAGAGGTAGAAACTCTGACATCAAATCAGTTAGTTTTCAATCCTGGCTTGAGGCATTCAGATGTCTAGTTGCACTGAGGAGCTGTCTGCGAATATATATATATATATATATATATATATATATATATATATATATATATATATATATATTTGAGTATTGATTATAATTAGTAGGCAGCTTCCTATCGTTACTTTAATTCTTTCATTCATTTACACATACCATACGATATCTTTCCAATTACAAATTTACTGTCATTTTTCAGTATTTACTATCCGCCATGTTTGTTGATTGTGGCCTACCATCGGTAGGCAGACAAGCCAAATTATCGTCACGGAAGCAGACGACATCACAAATCTTGTCGCACTAGTCATTCAGCGGAGGATACTATTTTACTAAATTAGGTAATGTTAATTGCTGTAATAATACAAATGGATAATCAATAATATAATATTGATTCAGCAATGGCGGACTATAGTAGTGACGACGCAAATGTAAAATACCATTTGCTCTCTTGAGCGCATCCCTGATACGTCAACTGGGGGATAGATGTAAACACAGCGTGTGTCGAGAGACCTTGTAGCATTTGGTGTCAAGTATGAGTTGCTTCTAATGTGAATCGTTATAAAATTGTGTTAAACTATTGAAAATCTAATTATTAATCACTACAAATATTGATAATGATAATTTCTTGTGACAGAGGTATATGTATAGAAGAGGATGAAACAAAAAAAATAAATAAAAAAATAACGACTGGCAAGTGTAGTCAAAAGGAAACTTTATTTTTCCACTGTCGCTTAATGTCTATTTTTCTCTGTCGCTTAATGTCTATTTTTCTCTGTTGCTTAATATCTATTTTTCTCTGTCTATTTTTCATCTTCGGGGAGATTGCCTGACAGTCAATGTTCTATAGATGATTAAATATTACATAACAGTTCAGCACCCTTTTCTTAGTTTCTAAAAACATTTTCCTATCCCTTAATACTTTGCTTATTTTCTGAAATAATTTTTCTCTTTTCTTACATGCCTTCGGATTTCTGTTTCGCATATTCCGTCTTCGGTTACTACACGACCCAGACAGTTAACTGATAGCTAGATGTAGAAAGAGAAAAGATGTCTTTCTCAAAGAGATTCGTGCGAAAGTGAACGCAATAGGCACTTTCCATAAAGTTCACATTACTTTTTTTATGTTTCTGCTGTATTTTTTTTTTTTTTATTGCAAACCACTTTTGATACGTTAAGTTATTTATATTACCTTCTGTGACACTATTTAGCGGTCGCGTGAAAATTAAAAGCGATAAAGAATTAAAGCGATAAGAAGCTATCATGAAAGACATACTGAGCGATGTTGTTTTTTTTAACAAAGAAAAGTGGTAAAGATTTTATTTTCAATTGCGAAAAAAAAGTATTTTTTTCGCAGAAGATAGGAAATTCGTAAGATCTCGGATCTGTCGGAATTAATTTATGCTATGACGCGGCGAATAAAAGATAACAATCTGGCAATAATGAAAATTTCAAATTGGTCAAGTGGCCTACAAAACAGAATGCTGGAAGATAATCGTAATCAGGTCAAAGCACGACCGAAAAAAAAAGATCAGCTGGACCACCCCAGAGAGAAAAAGGAAGAAAAAGACAAAAGGAAAGAATAAACCATTGACTACCTTTCGGAAATATCATTTAGCATTGAGAGGCACCTGTTTTTC